GTTTTAAGCCAAATTCCGAACCAAAGAAGGGAGAGCTGGGTTTTTGGATCCCAAACACCCAAGGGACGAACCAAAGAGAGAGAGGGCGATTTGAGGGCATTCTTGGAGTGGAGTTGGAGGATTTCTTCGCCTTGGAAGCTCGAGGAACAAGCCCGGACTTGAAGACTGATCATCTGAAGATTCTTACTGCAGTCTCTCTCTTCTCTATGGAGTAACTTCCCTTCACTTAGGTTTTGAGGAACCCTAGCTATGTTTGTTTGATTGGATGATTGTATGAGTACTCTGACTGGATAATCTTGAGTTCATATTCAATCTATGCATGTTTTCATGATTCAATTCTGCTTTAGTCGAGATTATTGATTCTGCTTTGATCCTATGAGAGGGAATACCTGATTAGGTCAATAGAGCACCATAGATTGATAGTAGTGGATCGATTGCTTTAGTCAAGGGTTGATTCACTGCTTTGTATCGATTGAGAACCTCTTTCGATAGAGGGAGTCTAGTTCAGAACGCCTTGATCAGTTGTTCTAGAGAAGGATACGTCCCTCTAGGCAATTGACTCAAGAGGGCCTTGTTCCTTTAGTCGAGACTCAAGGTCTAGTCAAGGATTCTCCGCATTGTGAATGAAAGTGAAACAGGTTAGAGATCATCAATCATTAATCTGGCTAGTGGCTAGGGGGAATCATACCTAAGTGAGTTCCCAACCTGTAATTAGATTAACTTTAACTGTAGTTTGCTAGAGTAGTTTTAGTTCTTTCATCTTAATCTGATTTGCTAAATAATAAACTGAAGCTGAGTAATAGTAACTCTAGAGACCCGTGGATTCGATATTTATCACTTGAGCCACTTTACTGCAGTCCCTTTCATTGGTTACACTTGGCCTTTGTTAGGTGTTGTGTTTTAGAGCATCACCTACAAAGAGAAAAAAAACTCAATATGCCTTACCATTTCCTTTCCTATATCTATATACAAAAAAGTAGAGAAGACAAATTCTAGAAACTCAAAATTTAAGCAAATAAGAAGAAAGCTTTATTATTTTTTTTGGTGGGGCTTGATCTAGTTTCTTTATTATCAATGTTGTGTTTTATTTTCAATGTTGTATGGGAAAAGGAATAGGAACAAGCCAGAATGTTGCACTCATTTTTATTAACTTAATTTACTTTTTATTGATAATGATGACAATTTAAAGAGTAAGCAAAAAAGCACACCAATTAGACCTTGTCCAGCGTCGAAGGGTGAGAGCTAGCCATGTACCAATGTGGCACTAAATTAGTTTTAGATTCCAACAATATTAAGTAATGATGATTTATGATTTCTTGGAATTTTTTTTTATAAAATGTAATAACTTGTAGAAACATGGTGACATTTTACATACATTTGAATTCTTGAATGTATTGTAGACATATCTATTAATATCTAAGAATATGTATAACGATTTTATTTTAAATTTTAACCCTGATTAATACCATTGAACTCGGCTCATCGACTGAAATATGAAAACGAAATTTTGTGGCTAGGATAACTCGATCTAAATACAAATTGCTTACTGTTACAAACCAAAAGATTTCCATTTTGAGACTTCAATATTGAAAAAGATTTTGTTATTGCCAAAATTTGGTATGGAGTCACAGACTCACAACCATATAGCTGGAGTTGTTTGCTCGATGAATTGGAGCTATCGTGAACTTTGTCCAACCATTGCTTGCGTCATGTATTTACAGGCAACAAATATGTGGGTCTCATGTATTTTAAGGTTCCAAATTCGTGGGCCCCAAGGACTTGAAAATTTTACCTCTTTAGATGGAAATTGATAATGGACTTTGAAGTCTATTATTTATGACCAACTTACCCCTCATAATTCATTTCCCTTCTCATACCAATGAGGGTAATATATAACATTTTCACTTCCAACATACAAATTCAATTAACCAAATGCATCATGAAATCTATGAAACGAAATATGGTATTTTCAAATCCATATGAACCAAAAACCCTCATATATCCATGCTTTTACAAAATCCAAGTTTTATTAAAACTTTCAGTTTTCAAATCCACGAAGCAAACGACCCCAATGTTTTATTACAATTGCCTTACTAACACACTTATGTTTATTTATTGCCTCTATCCTCGAATTTAGATTTGTCTACCAAGACATCAACTATTAAATAAATTTTTTCAACCCTTATTTGATCAATTGGTTCATGAAACGTGATGTTTATCGTATATCCTCAACGAAGATTTTCTTAACCTTCACACATGTTGTTTTTTAAGTAATGTTGTGTCTCATCCTAGGTATGAAGTCAAAACTCGTCAAAAATCATACTTAACTCATTTTGAAAACTTTGATGTAATAATGTTCGACAATAACTCCAAATCTGAAAAGAAATTACTTAGCATTCGACTTATGACCTCAATAGAGATTGTTCAATTAATATGATCTAGAATGAATATTTTAATATAAACCCTAGAACAAATTATAAATTATTGCACACCTGATTACTCTTAATTTGAGAACCTAAAGGTAGAACATAAATATACGTTTTCACTTAATCATGTTGAATAAGAAGTTTTTTAAAGAAAGAACTATTATTGCTTATTCAAGTTTATATTCAGACCTTTTGCTATATAAGAATTTTTTTATTTGATAGAAATCTATATTAGAAATAATTCGACGAAAAAAATACATTAGAAATAAGGAGCTGTTAATACAAAAAAATCTAAATTCATATATATCATTTTCAAAGTCGATTGATAAAAATATTATTATATATGTGTGTACTTTTTTAATCATTTGTTTTCAATGTTTCTATTGTAATATTTTTTTTAATTGATACAAATATTATTAAATATGTGTACTTTTTTAATAATTTGTTTTCAATATTTCTATTTAATATTTTGTTTAATTGATAAAAATATTATTATATATGTGTACCTTTTTAAGTTTTTTTCAAAATTTAACTTATTATTAAGTTTTGGTGAAAATGAGTAAGAAATTTTTTTTGATAAGATTTAATCATATACTTTTTATTTAAACAAATTCGATATAGTCATTCTCTATTTCCATCTTTATATTTTTTTAATTGAAAAAAATATTATACTTTTTTGTTTGTTTACATTTTCATAAAAAGGTCATTTATTATTAATTTTTAAGTAAAAATGAGTAGAAATATTAGAAGAAGAGAGAGATAGCTCCATAAATAGATCAATAATGAATTTTTTGTTTGCAAAAAAAGTTGTCCACCTTGGTAACTTGTAAATTCTCCAAGTGCTTATGTGGCAAGAAGTTACTTTTGAATTGTCATAATATATAGTATAGAAAAAAAATTATACTTTTGTGTTTTTGTTTACATTTTCATAAAAAGGTCATTTATTATTAATTTTTAGTAAAAATGAGTAGAAATATTAAAAGAAGAGAAAGATAGCTCCATAAATAGATCAATAATGAATTTTTTGTTTGCAAAAAAAGTTGTCCACCTTGGCAACTTGTAAATTCTCCAAGTGCTTATGTGGCAAGAAGTTATTTTTGAATTGTCATAATATATAGTATAGATAGATAGATAGATAGATAGATAGATATAGATAGATAGATAGATTGTTGAAGTTTGTACCCACCCTCAACCCATGGTTGTTGTGTAGATGTTGGTTTAGAATCTTAACCCAATACACTCACACACTCTATCAAGGATTCCTGTCTAGATATGGTCATTTAGTGTATAATTTCCAACTTTTTAATGTGCATTTTCCCCCCTTTATCTTTGGTGTTTCTTCTGGAACAAAATTTTTATTACTTATCTTAGTAACTGATAAACCATGTCTACCGTGCACATGGATTTTAGGTGCATTTAAAACAACATATCGTTTGAATAATTAATTTATAATTTTTTAAAAAGTTGATTTTTTTTATTAAAGCTTTTTTAAAATTCATACAACAATTATGACATTTCTCATACATATAGATTCATGGATATATTGCAGACACATCTATTATTAATATCTAAATACAAATTGCTTACTGTTACAAACTAAATATTTATGTTGACACTTTGATATCAGAATTTTTTTTGTTATTATCAAAATTTGGTATGGAGTCACAGGCTCACAACCATACAACCAAATGACTCCTTGTAATTGCCTTGTTGAACTCATCCTTATTAAAGATTCTTCATTTTTAACACAATAACTTGATTTAGACTTTTGTAACTATAAATGCTTTTAGTATAAATATCTCAACCAACAAACAAATGTTTAGTTATTGTATTAATTCTTGAATTTATATTTTTTTACCAATACATTCGACTATTAAACGAAAATTTACAGCCTTTGTTTGATCAATGCATAGGTCAGTGGTTGATGAAACGTGATGTTTACCGTACATCGTCTACAAATACTTCTCTATCCAGACCTTTTGTTATATGATACTTGTACATCGTCAAAATTCTATCCAGACCTTTTGTTATATAATATTTGTTTTATTTGATAGACATATATATTAGAAATGAGAGAATGTTTGATAGTAAATAATATAAAATAATATAATTCATTTATTAAAGTCGATTGATCATCAAACAACTTTTTTCTCTCTTTCCATCATTATATTTGTTTGATCGAATGAAATATTATTACTTATGTGTGTTTTTTTTTCTAATTTTTCATTAAAATATAACTTATAAGTTCTAGTATAAATGAGTAGAAATTTGACTTAAAGATGTTATAATATGTTTTCGGTTAAAAAAAATGAGATAGATGTCACTTTACAAACATTAGTCTATCATTGCATATACAATGCAAAAGAAAAGAAGGAATTATTGATTGAAGGAGAAAAAATATTAAAAGAAGAGATAAATAGCTCCATAAATATGTCATTAACTAATTTTTTCCCAAAAAAATTGTCCACTTTGACAACTTGTGAGTTCTTCAAATGCTTATGTGACAAGAAGTAACTTTTGAACAACCATAATATATAGTAACATCCGTCGTCATTAACCTGACACATAAAATATGAAATTTCCACTCTTATATTTAATCAATTGATCATATCTCACAATTGACAATCATAATATACCATTCCTACCATTCTCTACCAGCAAATAATCATTTTATCAGGCCGTCGACCATTTCATCTCCCGTGACTCGAGGGAGTGTTTAAATGCAAATGTTAAATTACGGCTCCGTCTATCAAACTGCCTGCAATAAGTTCGTAATCTCTCTCTTTGGTGGTCAAGACTCAGCCACTCAGGTCATGTACTGACCTAAGTAAGTTATGTGCTTTGATAGAGCACAATGTCCGCGATGCTTGCTTGGACTGGACTACTAATGTAGGAGTAGAACGAAACCTCCTAACCACGAGATTCATGCTTCACAACAGAAATGAAAACGACCACTCGGCCACCAATCAAGGCACGGATCTGGCGAGATCACGGATATGCTGTGCAATGCAATACGACAATTCAATTACTCATTCTTCATAAGATATGCTCCCTAAATTTCTTCACTCAGAAGTCGGAACATAGTATGGCTAGGAACCAGGGGGCTTCATCAAATGATGATAACAATTTTCTTACACAATGTTACTGGCTATGACACCGAATTCGACCAGAGCAGGCTTCAGGGAGTTATTAAGTAAACTCGGGATCCCAGGTGCTGGACCTGAAGATTGGCACCTTCGCAGCCACTGAAGAACAGGGATTCATCCTCCTTCCCTATTCTCCTTCTCCAGCTCATTACGAATGCTGGCCTTGGAACTCGTTCCACCTCACCTCCGCCTCCTACCGGAAGGGCAACGAGAAATGTTATCAGGATGAGTTTTGAAGTTTTCGCGTCGGGGTTGTACAAATATAAAACGTAATACATGTTTTAGATTGTTACCTCTATTTTCTTGCTTCTCCATGGCGGATGCTGCTGCCTCTGCCTCCTTTTTTGCCGGCTTGTAATTTTGGAGCAGAAACTTAAGAGTCTTTATCAAGTTTCCGTACTGTTTCACATCTGACAAGCATAGCAATGTGGAAGGAAACGTCTGAGGTAAAGGAAAACATATGTCCAATTCAAGAGCAACTACTTGCGCCATGAAGTTCAACCTCTTGAAATGCATCTACATGATCAATGAAACACCCAAAAACAGAAACATGATTTCTTGATACTCCAAAACTTGTTTTTAAATTTAAGCACTTACACAGTAGTATGTCACTGGCTACGACAAGGTCCCAATCAGGATTACAAGTCGGAAAGGCATCTCCCCATGTATCTGAAAACGGACAGTAGCAATGCAAAATCAGTCTTAGGAGTATGTTTAGATTCCCCACGAGTACAGGAACTACTCAAGGTAATCATCCAGAATAGTCGGCCCCTGAGCCAGATTTCAGGTAATCGATGAACTATTGCAGTGATTAACAACCACATTTCTGACATTTCCCTCTTCTAGACACTCATTTACACTTCTGAATGTTAAGGAACGCAAAAAATAACCTCATACACACATTTTGGAGCAAAGATATCCGTGAAATAACTTAAAGAGCACAAAATTTCTGAACCAAATAAAGGAGAAGGCAAGAAGAACTCACGCTTAATGTGGGGAAGAACAGGTGTGACTCCATTCTCTCTGCAGTTATGAGCTATGTTGTCTTCTATCTCCCGATCGTCATAATCCGATGTCGTGATGTCTAGGTCAAATGACTTGCGGAGAAAAATAGCCAAAGCTCCAGTCCCGCTGCCATTATACGGAAACCGAATCATATCAGCAGCAGAAAAGTTCCAAACTTCCCTTACTACAAGTCCAAAATTAGCGATAGGAGACATGGAAGCAGCATTGGAGCAACAAGCCAACACACTGGAAAGAACAATCTCCGACCTTAGATTCCATTACACCTAGAATCTAACATTCACCTGCCTAGCTCAATGCATCGCCGACCATCAATCAACGATTGGTGTTGAACCAACCATTCCGCGAACGAAAACGACCCTGGCCACAGCAAATTAGCATTCAATTGATGAAAAGAAAACTCTCTGACCACCAAATCCTGCACCCAGAAAGCAAAATCGCCAAACGAACTCGAGGTAAAATAAGATACGCCAAATGTTGAGTATGAGTAACAGGAACCATCAAACAGTAAATATCTACTATAGCAGGGCTCTAATCGTTCGGTGTATTAAGCTTTGGGAAAGCGATGAAACGGAAAGGGAAAAGGAATTTCGATACCATTCCGGGGAAACTGTGCCGCCTCTCCACGTAGCTCTGCCGGGTTTCCGTTGTCTCCTCATCTGACAAAAACAAACATTGATCTCTTTAGGAGATGACTATAGACTCAAACCGAAGAGCTTATGAGACTGGGAGAACAGAGGGCTAACCAGAGGCGTCTTCATCATCGGCGGCGAAAAGCGCAGACGGGGAGAAGACCGCTATGTCCATTTTCCGAGCTGCGGAGAGAGTCTCCGCCAGCATCACCGCACCGTTCCTGACTTCATCGGCGGCTCTTCCACTTCGAGCTCGTATGGGCTATGGACCAACCTCACGGCACCAAATGGGCCTTGTAATCTTATTCATTGCAGGCCATGTATTCATTGGCCTTACTTTTCGAGAGTTATGTCAACTGTTACGGGCCTCATTTATGGCCCAACACTTCTACTTTCAATTGTCGTCCCGTAGGATTGCAATTACCCTCCGTGAGTTATTTTACCCAAATCCAAGTAAATCCTTTGATTATGAGTAGGGGCTTAGGAAATGAATTAAGATTACATGGATATAGGAGACGGTTGATGGGTTTGGGTTTGGATTGGATTTGGATATTGCTTCCATAATCTAAATTGTTATGGGTTGGATATATATATCCATTTAGTTGAGTGTTTTAACTACATATAGAAAAATTAGAACTATTTGTAAAAATTAAAAAGTTTAGGTATAAAAATGTAATACCAACAAATTAGGTACCAAAACATATATTTCCATCAAAATTTTGCTGAATATAAATATCTATTAAGTTTAGGTACCAGCCTATAATTTTTATATGGCTCTGGGTGCAAACCCAATCCATGTATTGAAAACCCAAATAAATGAGTATGGGTACAAAGCCATCAAACTCTACCCATATACCATGTATTTGGATTTTATACCCAACCCAATTGGGTTGGATAACAAAATACCCATGGGTATGGGTAAATTGACATGCTTAGTTGGTCCCTATCACACACATTGAAGGGAGCCAATATCATAATCGTGAGCCTTGCTAGCCAAGAAATCAGCAGCAAAATTGACTTCCCTATACACATGAGACAAACAAACGTGCCATTGCAGTGGTTGAATTGCCTGACATTGCTACAAATTGTGATGGTCATCCTCGTCCATGTGATTGATGATGTTGATAGCTGTTGTAGAGTCGATGTTGATCTGGATTTTGTGGTAGCCTCCCTTCCAAGCAATCTTCACTCCCTCCATCATTCCTCATAGCTCTGTTGCAGTCAATGCAGCCAAAATCGAGATTTTATGTAAAATAAAAAACAGAGATAAAGTCGGAATCATAGATTAAAGTCGTAAAATCGTAAAATTTAATGGTTCATATTAAATTAAACACTTAAAACTCCATAGAGTAATAACAATGCATATCTTGTATAACAGACAACCACATATAACTTAAATATTTCCCAACATAAGTTTGTTTGTTAAATAAACAAAAAAAATACATATATTTATTCTTGTACATAACATAAACACACAAATAAGCAACATGAAACCTCATAGGAATTACTTAATCTAGTTAATAGCTAAGGAAGAAAATAACATAAATTGTTAGGATCAACATTAACATCCCTCACACATCATCATCATCATCCTCATCCTCAGCCTTAGCCTCAGCCTCACTCACATCCTCGTAGAATCCTTATCTATTTGCTTGAGCAATAATATCATTATTCTCAGGATCACTTAAAGTAAGTTCACCATTGAACATATTTCCTTGATAACCATCATTTAGAAAAGGTTACTGATTGATTGATGCATTCCCTTCCTAATCGATAAAAGTTCGGGGATGGTGGTGCTGAAGTTTGCGGAGATGAACGAAAGCTTGAAAGGGAAACATTGGCTAATTGCAACAGTGGTGGGGAACAAACTCTGAACTAATTGTGAGGGTGGGTGAAATCGTTGATGGAAGGAGTTGGGTGTCGACATGCAAAAGATGAAGTGATGAAGAAGAGAAAAAACATAAATTGAGGGTCACCTATCGGGTTAGGGTTATGTTGTTCATGAATTTGGGTTGGGGAAGTGAACTTGACACGTTTCGTGTGAACAACCTAACCTGACCGGTCTGATTTTGCTCCAATTGACATGAGTCTTGAAATCGTACAAAATCGTAGATTTTGAGGATTTTACAGGTTTTAAATCGGGATTTTATGGGATTTGAAGGTTCAAAGATTTTGTAGTAAAGTAAAGATCGGAACCCATAGGGAAGATCGTAAAATTAGGATTTTTACTACATTGGCTGCAGTTATTGAGCATCTATCAAAATTGCATATATAGGCTCCCAAGCATCTCCCAGATGGCCTCTGAACAGTCCTCCGACATCTGCTCTTCCACTTGGAGAAAGGACAGAGCCATCCACTGCAACTAAATCCAATCTTCCTCTGGCGGTTTCCAGTCAACAGAGCAACTCTGTTTTTTGTTTTGGTTCATAGCAGTAGTCTTCGGAGTATTAACATAAGCTTGTCCAACAATGTTTAGCTAGGCTTTAATCCTTGCAATTAAACCATCTTTGGATAAGGCACGTCCTTCCATGACCTCTTCATTCCTTTGTTTCCATAGATGCCAGCAAATGATGCCAAACTCAGTAGTCGTTGATTCTTTTTCGATGTTGGAAGTCAACCATTCATTGAAAATCATGCTCCTGTTGTTGGTAGCATCTTTGGTATGGAATTTCTCCCAAATGGTTCTGGCTTTCCTGAATTTTTTGAGGATGTGCTCGATTGATTCTTCTTCTTCTTCTTTGCAGTGATTGCAAAGGTTTTTTGTTGTTAGCTTCCTTCTTGCCCTTTCTTTGTTATTGAGCAGGCGATTATGTGTGACGAGCTAGAGGAAATGTTTGATCCTACTTGTTCAGTACTTAGAAATGGTGTTAGATCCAATGGAGTTAAAGTATTTAAACTATAAACTAGCCCAAAAGGTGAATATTTAGTAGTAGAATGAACAACTCTATTATATGCAAACTCCATATGCCGCAAACAATCTTTCCACGTCTTGATTTTACTCTTGATGATGCATCTAAGCATTTGATACAAAGTCATTTTAACTGCTTCAGTTTGACCATCAATTGAGGATGACTAGTGGTAGAAACCAAAATTTCATCCCAAGCTTACCGCACAAAGTTTTCCAAAAGTAGCACATGAAATCTAGGCATCATGATCAGAAACTATGGAAATAAACCACTTCTCTAAAGAACAAATCAGTCACGTTGGATGCATCATCAGTTTTACGACATGGAATGAAAGGTGCCATCTTAGAGAAAAGATCAACAACAAAAAATATAGAATCTCTACAACATTTAATACTAGGTAATCCCAGTACAAAACCATAAGAATATCAATCAAAGGGCTAGTAGGAATAGAGAGAGGAGTATATAACCCGGTTGGTTGAACTTTGGACTTGGCTTTGCATCAGTCCAAGCATCTAGCACATATTCTCTCTACAACACTTCTCATATGCAGCCAATATAAGTGTTCTTGAACAATGGAACGTTTTGCATACACCAAAGTGTGCCATAAGACCTCTACCCTATGCTTAGCTGATAATTGATTCCCGAATAAAAGCATTGGGAACAAAAAATTATTAGCTCTAAATAAGTATCAATCATAAATATAATACTTCCCTTCACCATGCTTATCACACGACTTACATATTTTTTCTAAATCAACATCATCATTATAAGCACCTTGATATGTTCAAAACCAATAAACTAAACATTAAAGATGTGATAAGAGTGTACCTTCGAGAAAGGGCATTGGCTACCACATTCTCCTTACCTTGTTTATAGCAAATGACATAAGGGAAGGACTCTATAAACTCAACCCACCTAGCATGACATTTGTCCATCTTATGTTTAGACTTAAGATACTTGAGTGATCCGATCAGTATGGATCACAAATTCCTTTGGTCATAGGTAATGCTGTCACGTTTCTAAATCTCGAACCAATGCGTATAACTCCTAATCACAAGTAGGGTAGTTTAGAGCAGCTCCACTAAGCTTCTCACTAAAGTATGTAATCGGCCTTCTAATCTGCATCAAAACAACACCAAATCCAATACCTACTCTAGAAGCATCACATTCTATCTCAAAGGTTTTAGCAAAGTCAGGCAACATCAAAACATGAACATTTGTTAGTTTATGATTAAGAAGCCAAAATGTTTTTTCTTGAGCTTTTTCCTCAAAGAATGACACATTCTTTTTTATTGATGTTGGCAAAGGTGCGACAATTCTTCTCCTTTTCCTTTTCCTCCAACCTTCCTCCTCCTCCTCCTTTGACATCCATTTCCTATCTCTGATCTCTCTCCAGGGTTTCTTAAAAATTTTAAGCTCTCTTTATGCAAAACAACACTCTCCTATTTGTAGATTTTGAGAAATTTGAAGGAGTTCACGGCTGAGAATAGGAAGTTCACGGTCGTGGACATGCAAAGTCGACTGCGATCTCGTAAGGAGGCTACTTCCAACTTCTGAGGATGAGGGTTTGCGATTGGCAGTTCACGCTCACAAACTAAAAGTCATGGCCATAATATTTTCGCTGTCTAGGGAAGAAAGCCCTTAGCCTTGACCGTGAAACTTTCTGCTTCTTCTTGTGCATAGCCTCCTTCAATTCATGGCCAAGGGATTAGATATCCTGGTCGTGAACTTCTAGCTTGTTGTAGGATCTCATCACGACGCTGGCACTTCACGTTTGTGATTTTCCTCCTATTGCACGTGAACTGAGGAATACCTTCTTCTCTACACTTACGATCTTGAAACCTCGTCATTTTAATTTGGAACTCACGATACCACCAAATAATCAACATATAGATGCGAGGGAGCCTTCTATGCTATATTTCGAGTTCAAATGATAAGTTTATGCTCTATACGATATAAAAACACATAGTGTTAAAGAACATTAATTACACCTATTTAGGTGTTATTAGTGTGAGAGTGATCTTTAATATATGAGCTAGTTCACTTATTTGTTTATATTTTTAAAAATAAAATTTATGGTCAGATTTCTATCACATATATAGAATGCTTAGAATCTTACTCTTTTATGCTTCACTTTTGTACTTCCATTTTTACTCATAATTTTGCTTTTGCATAAAAGCTAGACTTCGACCGCATTGGTTGGGTGGGAGGAGATGCGGTAGAGGAGGAAGAAGAAGAAGGTAGAGGGTTAAGTTTGAAAGGATTGGAGGATATGAATTTTCAAAATAGTAGGGGGACTAGTATTTTGAAACCCACATTTGTGGGTTTTCAAAATTTTACAACCCCAAAACATCATATCTTTGAAGCTCAAACGTGGCATTTGAGGAAAAATCTACGTTATGTGGGATTGTGGCAAAATTTCACACCCAATATCACTAATCCAAATGACCCCTAGAAGAATTTGTTGGACCAAGATAATAGTTGGTTCAAAATATCATAATTTTGACTAGATCCACGTGATCTGGTATGCTTTGATCTATCCTGCACGGATATTACTTGTATAGAAAATAGTCTAATATGGGACATGGGTCTTATTTTCACACTAACTTGCCCGAACTCGCCCGTTCTTGACCCCTGTTATTTTACTTCTCTCCAA